TTTTGGGATTACGACCCAAGCTGGACTCAGATGTGTGATATACTAATGCATTAAAACTCCCATTTCAAAAGCCTTGAAACACGCTGACTATGGCTTTCTTTGCTGTGGTTATGCATTGGGGATTTGTTTCCAGAGCACTGGAGAGAAAGAGTGTGAAGCCAACAGTGACAGGGCTGTTTATAATTAGGAGGATGTGGATATGGAAATCTTAGAAGTCTGACTAGAGGACCATGCAAATCTCTCTAATGGTAATAAAAGGTTTTCTAATAGAACAAAGGTCAATGGCTCAAGGTTAAGACATGTGCAGCTCTCACTGAGGATCTGAGTTTGGTGCCCAGCAGTCATGCCCAGTGGCCACAGCCTCCTCTAGTTCCTGCTCCCAAGGACCTAACACCCTCTCTGGGTTCCAATTGCACTTGCATTCACACATCCATATACACAAAAAATAATGAAAAATAAGCCTTAAGGATAAGGTTTTCAGGAGGCCCCTGAATAGGTTCTGAAAATGAACCACCCTAGCTTAGAGGAGAGGTGAGGCCACCGCAGGGCCGTGGCTCAGGAGCAGCCGGCACAAGTCTGGACCACTTCCCAAAGTGTCAGATGGAGACAGATGACTCCGTTGCCAGCAGAGACACCACCCTGGGGCAGGGGACACAGAGCTCTTCTGATGGGGACCAATTGCAATGGCTTTAAACTCCAGCCGGTAAACATTCCAGTCTATGCCTTTCCCTTGATCTCCCCAAGTCTGTTTCTGAGTTGGAAATTTTGCTAACAAAGGATTGAGTACTTTTTCCATAAAATTGACCTCAACAGAATCCACTGGATAATAACTTTTAAAGGGTGGTCCTTGGAAGCAGGACCTGTGTCATTCCGTGCGATCTCATTCTTGCCGACCTCCTCAGGCTTCACCATCTGTGATGTGTGTGTTTGTGTGTGTGTCCGTGTGTGTACATGCATGTGTGTATGTGTGTATCTGCATGTGTGTGTCTATCTGGATCTCTCTATATGTGTGTACATGCAAGTGTATATACGGATGTATGTGCAAGTGTATGTTTGTATGTATGTGTTTCAACTTGACACAAGTTGGAATCATCTGAGAACTGGGAACCTCGGTTGAAGAATGGCTTCCATCAGATTGGCTTTTGGACAATTCTGTCTGGGCATTTTCTTGATTGATGTGAAAAGCTGCAGCCCAGTGTGGACAGCGCCATCCCTGGGCAGGAGATCCTGTGGTGTCTAAGAAAGGGAGCTGGACGTGAGCCCGGAGAGTGAGCCAGTAAGCAGCACTCCTCCTTGACTCAGGAACCTCCAGGTTCCTGCCGAGTTTCCACCCTGACTTCCCTTCACGATGGATTCTAAACTGTAAGCGGAAATAAACCCTTTTTCTTCCCATGTTGCTTTGGTCATCGTAGTGGTTTGAATGATATGTCCCTGGTAAATCTTGGCCCCTTGAATGTGCTGCTCATGGTCAGTGGCTTTTTGAGGAAGATTGTGAGGTTTGGCTTTGCAGGATGGAGTATGTCACTGAGGCCAGGCTTTGAGATTTCAAAGGACTCTCTCATTTCAAGTTAGGTCTCTCCATTTCCTGTGTGGTGTTTCAGATGTGAGCTCTTAGCTGCTGGTCCAGGTGCTCACAGCCTTCTAACTCTGACTCCCTGGAACTGTAAGCCCCAAGGAAACCCTCTATAAGCTGCTCTGGCTCCGGTGATCTATCAGCAATAGAAAAGAAACAGACGCAGCCACAGGCTTTATCACAGCAGTAGGAAGCAAGTGGGGCATCACTTATTCTTTTTCCTGCTTCTGGCCTTCATGGCCCTCAGACAAGCCAAGTGCCTTGTCTTCCAGGGGTCTCTTCTGTGCTGTGTATCTACATGGAGCACTTTTTACATGGGTTGTTACATAGTTCTACTGTGTAGCTTGTGGAGCTAGTTGATGACATTGCTGGCGTCTTCAGGGACGCAAGTGGAGACCACTAACATATTTTAAAAAGTGAAGTTTTTGTCTTTGTTATACTTTATGGCCAATCTCTCTAAAGTCAGCCTTCCATCCATTTTAAGTACCACTAACCACCACCCCCACTCCGGGACATCATGGGTTTTCAGAATTAGACTTTTAGGATTTTATCATCTGGTATTCTAATCTTTCAGAATCACCACTTAAGCGCGTATAGATATTTATCATTTTACATTTTTTTTTAATCATTGGGGCTTTCAACACTTAGAATTATGGCATTCGGAAGTATGCCTTCGGGGATTATGACTGGTGCTTATATAGATCTCTCATGATGACACAACTGACCTTGTGGACTAAGAGAACAAATTTGTGATACTTTCAACTCATTGCTACAAATGTTGAAGGAGTTCATTAACAATTTCAGATATTTATCGAGCATTTGCTATGTACTTGGAGCTAGGCTAAACGTTGGAGTCTCAATGGTGACCAAGTTAACTGCTCTGCCATCAAGGAGTATCTCTTGTTCTGTACTCCTGATACTAAGTATATCCTCACTCAGTGAGGAAGCAAGACAATACATACAGAAGTAAATAGTATATAACAGGTAACAATAACCTCTTTAAAAAAAAATGAAGACAAGTGTGGCAATTAGCAACAGCCTACAGCTACTGTATCTCAAACCCCAGAGCCTGTGACTAGAGTATTTTGTACAGCAAAAGTGACTTTGTGAGTGCAGTTGAGCTAAGGGTTATTGAGGCAATGAAATCACACATTTCCTTTAAGAGGAGGAGAGAAATGTCAAAGGCAGACAAAGAAAGGAGCTCCATGCATGGAAGCAGAAATGCTGTGAAACCACTGGCTTGGAAGATAGAAGAAAGGGCAGAGCCCAGAAACACAGACTAGCTGCAAAGCTGAAAGGCTCAAGGATGTGTTCTCCCCAGGAAAAATGGAAAGTTTACTGACACCTTCATTTTCATTTTCATGACAGTCTCACGGAGCTCAAGCTGATCTTGAACTCATTATGTGGCCGAAGAAAACCCTTCACCTCTGACCCTCCGCCCTTCACTCCTCTGCCTCAGTGCTGGGATTACAAATGTGTCCCGTCACACCCAATTTATGTGCTTGTCTTTGTGGGTGTTAGTGTGCAGGTGAGGGCAGCCTGACAGGGGTGAGTTGTTAGGGTGGAATGCACAGGGTTTGTAGTGAGGTGAGTAGGACGCATGAGACCAGGGGGCAAAAGCCAGTGTGTGAAGTTCTGGCGACACCGAACACCTTCCAGGAAGAATGTATTTGTGGTGGAAAACTGTGAGTTAGATGTTTCTGAGGCTTGCTGGTCATGTAAGTGGAGGTGAGATGTAGCCAATTGGAACATAATATCTGAAGTTCAGGACAGCTCTGGAGTTGATGACATCACCTCTGAAACCCCAGCCACTAAAGATGTGTGTGAGAGAAGAGAGAGAGACAGAGACAAAGACAGAGAGACAAAGACAGAGATACTAGGACCTGGGTCTTGGGACACAGTAATCTTTAAAACCCTTGAGGAAGACAGCTCATCAGAGAGAAGGAGTAAGACCGTGGACCTTGTTATTTCCATCTTCAAGGCAAGTCAAAGCCAATGTTTGCAACTCCTGGCCTGACTGAAGCTTGACAAATGGCAGCCTGCCCCTTTGTAAAGGTCCTAAGAAGTAGCCATTGACTTGGCCTGTTTGCCTTGGCTCTCACGGAGCTTTTAAAATGCTAAGAAGCTTGATTCTGTCGGACAGCTGTGAATACAAGACTCAGCTCTAGAACTGAGCTCTTCCTGGGGCTGGCACAGCCCTTACCCACCAGTGACTGCCTGCAAGAGGCTTAGCAGCACCTAGGCTTCTGCTCCAAGATACAGCTCCCTGGCTGCAACCAGATCGTACTAAGGCTCTTCTTGATTGCTGGGGAAGGCTGAGTATTTGCTTTCAGCGCCTTGGCTAGGACAAGTCCCCGCTTACCTGGCACACTGGAGATTTGTGTTTGGAAATTATCTGTCTATGACAAACAGTGTGAGTGCTGAGCCCAGAGAAACCCTCCTGCAGCTAGCCCTCCTGACTGATTGTGACCAGGACACAGTGTGAACTGGCTGCCAATGGGATGGATGGAACCCTTGGGCAATAGTTCAGGAGACCCCGGATGTAAATCCCCCTTCACCACCTGACTCCCCCTACCCCATAGAATTATAAGGACTTTATAAAGCCGCTTTGCATGACTGCTTCAGCACCAGGCTCTTGTTTCTGGTTGTGGTTCTCAGCCTTAATATCGGACTTACAGAGGGAATGGTGTCTGAAATCTGGACCCCATCCCTGGAGATTAGGATTTAATTGTCTACAAATGTGGTCGGACAACTGGGTTAAACAGCAACACCGCCAGGTGACTCTAATGTGCAATCACAGTGGAGAAGCGCCCATATCACCAGGAGGAACTTGTCTTTGGAGGCCTTGCCACCGCTGACGATGGCTGTGCTTTGGGGCACAAGCCCAGCTCTCTGAAGGTCTTTGCAAGCAGCAGCAGCAGATTCCAGCAGAGCTGAAGGCGCGCTGTCTAGGAAAAGTAGAACTCTAAATAGATACACTACACGAAGGATGTGCTCGCTGATCAGACCAAGCTAAGGTGCACTTCTGTCTATGCAAATCGGGATTTTACGGATACTCCTGGGCAGGCATCCAGATGTAGTCATAGAGGTACGGAGTCTCCTTGAGGAATCTCGGGAGAGACCCCTGAGAGAGTGGACAGAGCCGTCCGTACTAAAACACTTGTCTCTGAGCCAGCAACTTCTGCAGTTACGCAGTAAGTAGGTTCTCAGAGATGCGCGGTGTCCCTTTTGGACAGTGTCTTACTATGTAGTGCCAGCTGGCCTGGAACTCACCATGTACCTCTGCTTGGTATTGAACTCAAAGCTGCTGGGACTAAAGGCTAGTACCACCACTCAGTATACTGAGGACCCTTCAGACTTACCTGATAAGCACCTGAGCTATATTTAACGAGGGATCAGGTGATACCTACCCAAGCCAATTTGGGGAATGCGTGGCCAACTCAGAGGACAGCCCATCAACTCCTACAGACCCTTGGGAAAAGAGAAGCTTCAGCGGCCCCGCCCTCCCGCCCCGCCTCCCTGCACGATCGTTGCCGTGGCAGCGCGGGACGAGGCCCAAGCGGTGGCTGTACCACTCTTCCTCCCCAAAGGCCCTGGGTGGGTCCCCGGTTCGGCCCAGCGCTCCGCCCCACCATGCTCGGGGCAGACTCGGGAGCCTGGTGGGAGCCCTGGAGGAGGGGCGTCCTTCGGGGTCGCAGAGCTGCCGAGCGAGCGGGTTACGCTTCAGGGCAACTTCGAGATGGGGAGGGCAATCTGCGGTGTGGCGCTGGCCCTGCGGTGGCGACGCATCCAGCCCGAGCTCCCGGCGGGTGAGTGGCGGCCCCCCACCTTCCCATCCCCCACCCCGCAGCCAGCGCGTCCTCCTGTCACCTACACCCCTCTGCCCCTCCCCCTCCCAGCCTCCTGGAGGGGTTGTGATGGCCAACCAGGAAGTTGCAGTTCACCTTCCACCTGGAACAAGTTTTGAAACGCGCTTTTTTTTTTTTTTTATGAATTTCTATGAAATATCACACCACAGATTTGTGCTTTACTTAAACTTACCATCTCTTATAGGTTTTTATTAGAAAGTGCGATGCTGCAGTTTGCAGTAGAAATATTTTGAGTCGTCTTCGACGAGAGGAGGCTTTTGCAGGAGAGTGGAATGTGGTTCACAGCCTGGTTTAACTAGCTAAGAGTTTGTAAGATTAAAAACAGCTGATTCCTCCCACCTCCGCAGTGGGGGGGGAAAATCCTTGTGCCGCGCTTTCTCATAGAATGGAAAAGTGCCTGTTTAAAAGTTTCTTGTTCAAACGTCTAAGAAAATGACAACATCCAGTCAGGGACCAGCACCATGGAGGAGTGTGAATTCCTCCTGAGACACTTGTGCAGCGAAAACTGCTTTGGGCTTTAAGTAAAATGTTTTCACATCTTTTGAAAACCCAAGGTGAAATAGTTTCCTGAACCTTTGAAACTACAAGCTAGGCGCCAGGATGCGCAATCTCTTTGTTAGGCTGTAAATCAGCCCGAGTTGGGGAATAAAAATGCTGGTGACTAGAATTTGGATGAGCCCAAGGAACCAGTTTAAGCCACAAGCCAACACATTCCAAAGACTGCAGTTAGAACCCACCTAGGCCAGGGCTGTAGCAGGAATGTGACACTTGGAAAGAAATGCTGTTTTACAGTGAATGGTGGTTGAGGAAAAATAGGTTTAATGAGCACTCCTGGTAACAGAACTGGAAAAGCTCTCTTGACAGTTTGTTCCTCCGAAGTTTGCAAGTGCTTATTCTGTTTAATTTTGCCCTAAGACCCTTTGGTTTTCTTTCCCTTCATGTGAACAACACGCTAGCTTTCTTTGCAATTAACACCCGGTATTTAAACCACCTTGAGCTTCTAATATTGGAGCCTCAGAAACCTGGCACTTTTTTTAAATCTGTAGAACAGCCCAAGAGACAGTTGACTAAATGCAGTGGGGGTGATGGTATTAGGTGACAGCATAAATGAAGCACTCTGTTGCCTTGGAGAGAAATGAGTGAAGAGAGCTTCAGAGCAGGGGAGAGATGTACCAGAACCATCACACTCAGGAGGCCATGGTGTTGGGATGAGTGGTATAGGAGGCCATGGCTTGGCAGGTACTTTATGACCCAGAGTGGGCCTGGCTCATGAGGTCTACAGACATTATTGTATGGTGTCTATGAGCTGTTACCAGAACATTCCATCGGTTGGTTGGTTGGTTGGTTGGTTGGTTTTCCAAGACTGGGTTTCTCTTCGCTGTTCTGGACTGGCTTTGTAGACCAGGCTTGCCTCAAACTCAGAGATTGCCTGCCTCTGCTTTCCCAAGTGCTGGGATTAAAGGCATGAAGCACCATGCCCAGTCCAGATCATTCAGTTTTTAAACTCATAGTATCTTAGAGGTTTCACTGATGAAACAAAATACGATGTGATCTTTCCTAAATTGTCCATCCATCTTGACCATGGTGAAGGAAGACACCATGTATTTTTCGAAGGCTATCACTGCCGGAATCATGGCTAACTGATGGTCTTGTTGGCAGCGAAAGCGAGTATGACCCTCGTGACTGCAGTTTCCTTATTGGGTTCAAGGCTGACTTAGAGCAACAGTTGTGTTATCCTTCTCTGCAGATATGAGGCATATGAGGAGCCACGGGTCAAGGTGAGAGGCTTGAGTACACCAGTACTTAGATTTGGCCTTTTATCTTTAAGTGAAGGAATGTTTTCAGTTTAGTAAGTCAGGTCTTGTTAAGGTCTTGTTAAGCACTCATTGCCTCGTAAGCTGAGTGCTTCAGAACTTAGTGCTCACACGTTGTTGAACGCTTTGAAGACACAGCACCAGGACTAGCAGCCTCAACTAACACCCGCAGACATGACTCCAGAGGTTGAGACTGGCCCCAGCCATTCAGCCATCAAATATGAAATAACCAGTACTTTGTGAGGCCATCTAAAGATATGCTGGATGTGGGCCCCATCTTGAAGAGCTTCAGTGTGCTTAAAGGGAAGTGATCTGTTCATGATAGGGGAATTGTCATGAAGGGCTGATTAGTTGTTTAAGTCCCTACTTCTTAAAAATTTACAGGGATAGAATTAAATTTTAAAAAAAAGAAAAGAAAAGAAAGACAAAAAATTTAAGGGGGGAAAAAAGGAAAAATTGAGCTTCATGGTATTTTATAAGGGTTTTTCAGATACCAAAATGTTCGGTGAGGGCCAGGGGTGCAGCTCAGTGGTAGAGTTTATGACTGGTGGCCTGGAATGTGTGAGGTCCCACGTTCAGTTTCCACACTCCTCTGAAGACCTGCAGAGGGAATCCTTCCTTGTGATTGTAGCCTTAGTGTCTTCTGCTATTCCTCGGCTTGTGGTTAGGTAACTCTGTGTCTTCAGATGGTCTTACATTATCTCCCTGTGTTTCCCGACCTTCCTATAAGGTCAGCTGCCACTAGAGTTAAGAGTCACCTTAATTCTAGGCTACTCTCCTAGCTGAATTACAATGGCTGACTGTTCCCCAGTCTGGCTCTTTTCAAGGTTCCAACAGGTAATAGATTTGGGGGGGAGGGTGACAGTTTATCTCACTGAATTTATGATGGGAGTTGGAGAGATAGTCTCAGTTGAAGGGATAAATCAAGAGCAGAAAATGAAAGGCTGTTGCCTGGGGATAGTAACTGATGAACATCAGTTAGGATAGTAATAGAATCTTCAAAAGTAAACAGGCCTGATGGCAAGAACTTCAGGTTTAAGTTAGTACAAAGATAAAGTTCTCTCATGTCTCTTTTCTTTAATTTTAAATTGCTCCACAGCATCTATTCCAAGTCTGTTACTACCGATGGTCTGTCACATCCTTATTGAAACTGCCCACCTTCTGAAACTCCTCAGTGTGAATGGCTTTGCCTTGCATTCTATTCACTGGTGCCCTTCACTAGCTACTTCACAGCTATGGCAGGGATGTTCATCATCTCTCAAGTCTTCCTGGGCTCAGGAAGGAAGGATGCAGTCTCCTCCTTCACAGACATTGACTTCTTCCTCTCAGCGCTTTTCCTTAAGCATGGTTAAGTGCTCAGGCCTTTCCCTTTCTAACAGCACATGTTCTGTCTCTTCAAAGGTTCCTTCCCATTTCCCGGCCTCCCTCTCACTTTGTCTAGTGGGATTTTAGATAAATAGTGTCTCACATTTCTTCCCTTGAGTCACTGCTGTTTCATCCCTCAATTCTATATGTACTCTCTTCCCCTCTGCTGAAACTGTCCAGGAAAAGGTTATAAGCATTTTTTTTTCTGAATGTTCAAACAAATGGGAAATTCCACTCATTTCCTTTATGTATTTCTCCTTCCTGTGACTCAAGTCCATTGACTTGATGCCAACAGCATCCAGCTTTTCCAGTCCCCCACTGGACTTCATTCTCCATGCTTGTAATGGTGTTCCCCAAAAGTCTGGTCTGTTATGACTCTACGTATGCTTTCTAGACAGTGTAGCCAGCTGTCCAGCAGACCCAAACTGCTCCAAAGTCACTTTGTAGCCATCATTGATATTTGATCAACTGCTGTTGTTTTGCAGTGCTCGTATCTTGGGGTCAGGCCATGCATAGTTTCAGACACCCAATGGAACATAACCCTGATGGATAAGAGGAATTACTGCATTTCTGAAGATCAGATCAGCTGTGACCCCCCAAAGAGTGGTTGGTTCTAGAAATGAGTCAGCAGGTGCTACTATGCTTAGGCCCCAAGGGGCGTCCCGAGGGAGAAGGCCAAGTTTAGAGATGACACCATTAGACAGGATCTACCTTCGCCTGAACTTGACCCATTTCATCCACCAACCCTATATGGGAAGAGATTAGGATTTACTTACCTCAGTTCCCTCTCTGTATTCAAAGCCAACAGTCCTTGGGCAGAGGTAAGAAAAACCTGGCTGTCGGGCACCTGCTGTGGTTTCAGTGCACTGTGCAAGTGGAGAGTCATGGGGTTCAGATCTGGATGGAGGAGGGAAGGCTGTCCCTGAGGCTTACTCTCAGCATCTTGGTAAGTCCCAGACACTGTGGACAACACTGAAGGAATATGTTTATGATGGTTTGCTGGCCTCATGAGTAAGTATCAACTCCTCACCTATGGGAGGATTATCACCTCCCACCTCCACTTTAAGAACTGGAATTCTGTGTAAACATTTGTAAGGGGATCTCCAATATAACACACATCAAAGTGAAAGCTTCTTCATCAGAGTGGTGAGCCTGTCTCCCTGGTTCCCACCTTACCTAATGGGACTACATTTGTCTTCACCCATAGAGTAGCAGAGAATGGGCCGAGAGGCACCCCAGCTAAGGGAGCACAAGGTCTCCAGCATCTACCTCTGCCTGACTCTGCACCTTTATCTCCCAGTGCATTCCTCAAGTGTCAACATCTTGTGAGAGACCTGATGACAGAAACAGCTCCATAGGCTGTGTTTTCCACGTGACTCCTGCTACCTAGAACTGGCATCCTCTTCTTTCAGTGTTTCAATGTTCACACTCATTAAAACTAATGAAGATTCATTTTAGATTTCCCCTCATTCTCTTCAGGCAGTTGGGGCTTATATACTGAGACACGAATAAGCTTTCCATTGTCATTAGAGAACACGCTCCTGGCATGTCTTTAACTTTGTATTGGTCCTAGATTGCTAACATAAGCGTTAGTGTCACTCCATTTCTTTCCTGTGTGGATCTAGAAGGGAGTTTCTCAAGTTTTGCTCAGTTTCCAGGTTAGAGGGACCAGGAGTTGAGCTCTGTCGTATAAACCATCTGGAGCATGAGGCATCATCCAGCTCAGAAAATGGCTTTTTATTATTGCTGCAACAGTCCTTG